GAAACAGCTGCACAGTGCCTCCGGGCTTTTCAACTCACGCACTTTTTACACGACGAATTCATCGCATGAACAAATAGAATCCTCCAATAATCTCACAACAGTTTTATTCGGACGCCACATCAGCTTCCTCTCTCTCTCTCTTGAAAGGATGACGCGGATCAAACGAAGGTCTATCGTTATTGCCGCGTTAATCGGGAGGAGATTTGCACACAATCACGGCAGACCTGATTATTTCATTTTTCATACATCCAGTTCCCTTCAGAAATTTGATCAGAACGAGGACAAGCATAATCACAGAACAGGTCGAATTCCATTTTGTTCACGTTCTCTCGTCACCCGTGTTCATGCCCTTATCGATATTTCACCCGTATGTTTGTACATAACTGCGGAGATAACGGGAAACAATTGAATTCGACCTGTTCTGTAATGATGCTTGTCGTCGCTCTTCTGGTATTCCACTTTACATCCTACACACGGTGCTGTACAGCGGCCAGTTGGGCGTGGAAAAGTGAAGTCATTAATCTCGCGGATATTTCAGTGACCGAATCCTGCCTAGGAGAATGCTCAGAATGATTAATGAACGTCAGGGGTGTGTCCCCCCCCTTCGTACCAAAAAAAGAAATCAAGTCAAGATTGAAGAATGGAGCGGAAAGCTACGTGTCATGGCAACTGATGCACTGTGGCTTATGTGATCCATTTCTCGGTCAAGTACTCACTCAATCAGTTCTTTCCCATCCATTNTGGCTGAATCAGAAATTCCGATTTCACCCTTGTGATTTCCCCGCTCCCCGGAATTCGGCTGTTCATTTCATGCTTCGAGTCATCATTGTGCTGAGATTCCTCATCCCGCATTGTTCAGTTGAAAGTGAAATCATATAGTTCATCAATTGAATCAGATTGTAATTGAAGAGATTTGGCTGCAAAAAAGAGAGAATCAAGAACAAAACAGTAGAAAAAGGTTTCATCACGTGCCAGAGAATTGAGAAATTCGCAGGAAAGAGATGGAGAGAGAGACAGAGTTAAAGTGTTTTACTGAAGCTTCTGTTTGTGCTTCAAATATGAGCAACTATGGTTCGAGGGACAAAATCTCTTCCGCAGTAGCATAATCAGATAGACTAGATCAGGTGGTGGAAATAAAACTGTGCTCTCAAAGAAAGATATGAAAACTAAAGAAATCAAATATCGATAATAACAGTAGAGGCAGTATTTTTTGATAGTAGTAATAATTTGGCGCACAAAACAAGAACAAAATGCGTTGAATCAGGTTGAGTCAATTTTCGTTTGCGTAAAAATAAACACTATACCCATACATATTTCGACCGTATCTTGTAGAGAGGATGTGTGTGTGTGTGTGTGTGTGTGTGTGTGTGTGTGTGTGTGTGTGTGAAGGAACTGTGGGTTAGATGGGTGAGGTCTCTGTACTGGTGAAAAGTATGATTTCCTATTTTATCTGACTGATCGTGCAGAACAAGTACAGTTAAATGGGAAATGTGTTTGTTTGTGTGCGTCCTTGAAGAGAAACCGAATCCACGAACGGGGACAGAATATGAGGGCAGTATTCGGTTAAACTCCGCCCCTCCCCTCATACCAGATTAATTGAGCTGGATTGGGTTCACAGGTGAGGTACTCCACGTTCGAAGTCCAAGGGTGGAGTATTGGACATGAAAAATTGAACCTAAAAAAAAACATTTAACACACTGGCACAGTGATGGAATGCGGTTACAAGGCACGATATTCCACAATGAGGCTGTTGATAGGGATAGTGATGATGATGGGATCAGGAGATAAGATCGAACCGATCTGTTTGAATTTCCGTACTAACAGAGTAGGATGGTCAAAGGAAACAGGGTGGCGTCGTGGTTAGTGGAAAAGAGGGGGTTAGACCACATATGTCAGGGCGTACATCACCAGAGCGGAAATAGCCCCAGACGCGGGTAATGTGACAAGCCAAGCGACTAAAATGTTGCGAAAGATGCCCCAATTCACATTGTCTTTGGATCGAGCTCGTCCAACTCCGACCACTGAGCCGACTTTGCAATGAGTGGTCGATATGGGCAGACCAATTTTGCTAGCGACAAGCACAGTCAGCGCGGCACCAATCTCGATGCAAACTCCACTACACAGTTAAAAAATGAAAAAATAAAAAATAGTTTAGCTAATTCATGTTTCACTATTTTTTTCCACCAAAAAGCAAGTAAATAGTATAATGATAGGATGATCTATTTTGACGCCACGTTATAAAAAGATCATCACAAACAAACAGTTTCTCCCCTGTTTTTATCGATTACTTTTTGTTCAAAGTAATCACGAAAGTGTTTTTTCCAGGCAAAACTGATGCACTTAACTTGGGTTCGTTAAAATGGGACGATTGTATGGCGATTTATTGCTCGTAAATGCGAATGAAAAAAAAACATGAAAATGGTGGAACGAAATGTTTTAATTCGATCTCAAAATACAGATTTAGTTTGAAGTAGAATGGAACAATAGAACCGAAGTTGTGGTGTCATGATGATGAAACCCAAATAGACTGGAATGAGCGGTCGCACTAATCAGGTCATCAGCTAACCTCAAGCATATGGACTCGAGGTTCGCACTAGAAGGTGCAAGGACAAGAGATGCATCTACGAACAAAAAAATCACACAAGGACGGGATTGTTATTTTTCGACTACTGAATTCGGTCTGCATGGGGTTTCTATCGGTGTTAACCATACTGCTAACAGTGCCGTGATCACATATGGACCCATCTCATTTACGATTGCAGTGGTACGCTTTACTATATATGTAGGTAAACTGGTCAACTTAACGGTCATAGTCTAATACGCCTCAAAACTGTCCTCTGACTCTGCTATTTCCCTTTAATGGAAGGGAACAACAAGACACACATCGGACAAAACTGGAGGACACTACTCGGTTTATCCTATGAGGTTTGATCTCAGCTGTAGATCCGAAATTGGCGAACGGGAAGTAACTGGTTACGACTCCACTAGGTTGATCGATTCCCATGTGCGCTTTCAAAAGCCCAGGAGACTTTGACTAACGTAGTGTTCAAATAGCGGAAGAATAGTGCATCAGAATAACTGTGCAGTTCGAACATGCTGAATTTCCCTGATCAAAAGTTGTCAAGTTTATTTCGGTACCACAAAATTGCATCGTGCGCGCATGCCACAGGAACGATCTACAAACTGGAAGAAACCCTCACCTAGTGATAACAATTAGTATAACAAATTTAGATAGCCATCCACCCATCTCGTTACAAATATGCCTGCCAGTGATTCGGTAGATGCGTCTGGGACAATGACTAGGTGGTGGCCCGGTGTTAACGTCACCAACTTATCAGCCGGAGGATGTGTACTCGAATTCCAGCACCCCCGCCGCCTGACATCCCCCATTCTGTATTTAATGAAACCTTTGATTGGCATCTTCCCCCTTCCTGAAAACTGTATCACTATATATTTAATAAGGGGAAGTGAGAAATTAAAAAAATTAGAATTCTCCCCGGAATCATCTCACGAAGGTGACATGAAGTTCTAAAGAATAGATCTTCAAAGAAACGCGTCAGCCCTCTGATGGTGTAACGGGAAGCAAAACTCCACAATTATCCCGAAACCGTACCCCTCAACGCAAAACGACTGGTCGTCTGCCACTTCGGTCTGTGAGGCACAGATGTGATGCGATTTTTCATGTATTTTTGTTGATCCGATAGCAAGCGGGCACTCATTCCTTTGGACAAACAGCTGGAATCTGTTAGTACTTCTTCCGTTTACACTGTTCTTTGTTTTAGTTACCGTATACAGGAGAGATTTAGAAAAGAAATGATCAGAGCATGATCAATGTTGGCAATGCTAGTGATTTTCCATGTCAAAAGGGCCAACGAATTTCAGGGAGGAAGTTCCCGTCAACCAAACGCCACATGGACTCCAAGCCGATATGATGAAAACCCAAAGGAGCCCCTACAATAGAGAGATGCATCCAGTCACCGTTTCAAGGCTAGTTTGAAAGACGAGCAGATTATAATCGAATAGCATGAGACTGTATTTTGAAGATTTCTCTTTTAAGCGTATGAGTACCAGTCGATTGATTCATTTACTAGAATAGACATAAAAATTTGAATATTCCCATGATAGCATTGAGAAAACGAGTCGGTGAGCGAACAATTATTTTCGGATATTCCTAGTCATGCTCTTACATATCATATAGTGGAAAAAAATCTTACATACTCATAGCCGTTGGCTCATTTTAAAGTCAATATTCGGAGGTAGAGAGTAATTGGAGTGTACATGTGTTTACCTGCGTGTGTGTGTATAGGAAAGTTTAACGTGTTAGTTGATGTGACCTTTTCCCACTTGGGTCAAGTGACACGTCATGTTCCGTTTTGGTTTTCACACACGGCCAAGGCAATTGGAGCGCCTGCACCAATCGGTTTTGGGCACACAGGTCGGGTACTAGTAAGCGAATGGCGATCGCCTCGGCCAAACTCGGGCCGCCCTTGAGCGATTGATTGGGATGCGATAAATCACATCAAAAGCTTTCTCCGGATCGATCTTGTGACCGGTGTCGACGAGATGCCCCACAATGGCGCTTGAGATACAGCCGGTTTTTCCCTGACTCAACCATCGCGGGTGGTGCTCCTTAACACGTTGAGACAAACGCCTTACCGTACGACCTATGTAACATGCGCCACAGACGCACTTAAAGGAGTAGATTATCATGGATGAGGTCAGTTTCGGCAGTTTGTCTTTCACCTGCATTCGCATCCCCGGCGATGTAGAGAATACTGGTCTAAGTTTTGCTGCGGAGAAGATGGAATTTACAGCCCCTTTCAGTGATATATGTATATGATGTATATGATTCACTTTTGTAAATGGTTAACATTTTCCTCGGTCACACCTAGAAATCGTAGATAAAAATTTGAAACCGACTGATTTGAGAAGACAATTAATTTAAGAAGAAAGCAAAGCACCGTTTTACTGTGATATATAGCTTGCAGTTACGATGTTGTACGATCCGCTAAGAGTTCAGGCCTAGTCATTCATTTTAGACTCCAAGCCTGGATATTTACGTTTCAGACGCGTATTGTCCGGATCCGGTCGATTGTGTGCACCGGGATCGATAAAATCTCCTGCCGGAATGGACCCATTAGCGTATCTTATTAATCAAGGAGACAATCAGGATTATGGATCGAGCGTTGATGCAGTTCGTGTGATAATACCGATCGGTTTTTAAATGCAATTCAGTTTTAACACCCATTACCATCCTAGTTCCGGTGTCTGAAGATCATGCTGCAGTCCATGCAGAGATTAATAGAACCAACCAGATCTTCGCTTAAAATGGCCATATCCAACCGAGATAAACTAATACCGCTCATTCATCAACGTGAATGCAACTGACAACATTCTGCTCGCAGCAGCTAAAATAATAATGCGTTCATCCGTATTCGTTCTCGTTTCATTGGACCCGTAAAAAAGGTGTTTACCAGTCACATTACCATGTTTTCGATTAAACCGGAAATTAATTAGTCACGACATGCAGGAGAAATTCACTTAGAAACGTCTTGTGACTATCGGGCACACTCGACGCACAGTACACCCCAGAAAGGGTATCTCGCCAAAATGCGCAAACAGGTTGAAGCTAGATGTATCAAGATACTGCGGTCCTGTTCAAGTACTTCCAATAATTCTGATCACTTGATAATCTCGACAAACTGAGGTTTCTTTGACACCAGATAGGGATAACCTCTTCTCTACAGTCAGTGTTTCGCGAGCAGAAACATTCGTTTTTGTGAAACTGTTGTTATGTTTCAAGGTTATCTGCGGAACTGTATTCAGTGCTATTTTTGTTCCTGCATTGAGCTAAACAAACAACCACCTGCCTGAGCGAAAGCTCCACCACTGGCACCAAAGAGTTTTTTCTCCCAAGTGTCAATACAGAAGCACTGACGATGTTGTCTAGCTTGGCTACGAGACGTCTGCGAACAACATTTCCAGTTAGGAGAACTCACCAACACCAACAAAAGCGAACAGTTTCGATGCGACCTCAGTCAAAGTCAAACTGAGATGTTTCGGTAGCATCCGGTCACGGTATAAAACCACCACTTTGGCTAGTCATCTTATCGACAAGGGAAATTGGAATTTAGCCTGCAAATAATAGTACATTTCATCCATCCGGCATTATTAATTGACGGACTCCCGAAATATCATTTCATATCACAGGCTAATTAAAATAAATCTATAAAATTCCCATTTTTTATTATGCACCAGTGTGTGACGGACAGCAGACGGGGCAGACCCAATGGTCACGTAGATTTGCAGTTCAGAGGTGATAACTGGCAAGCTAAACCGCGGGACTTGGATTGGCGAATCACATAAGGCTCCTCAGCTTGGGCGGCGTGGGATTGAACCGGACGACGGCAAAGCTGCTTACCGCCAAATTTAGCTGGCGGTGGCTGGGATCGAACCTCGGACCACAGGATCCAAAGCACACCGGTGACAGCGACTAAACCACT